AATGCCACAATGTTTGGAGTTGTTCTGTGTAAACTGTGTGATAAACCGTGATGTTATACCAAGAGAAGCGTGTGTTAAGCAATACAAATTAGCAGTAATGGATATCAAATGAAGGAAAGTAAAGGCACTAAGGAGAAAAAAAACAAAACAGGGTAAAGATCTGGAACGTAAGAGGAGAAAATGTAAAAGGAAAGGGAGGAGAGAGAGTACAAAACTGAGGGCGTAGCGGAAAGATGGATAAAGTGAAGGAGACTATGATAATTATTAAAGAGGAGATTTTAGGTCGAGCGAAAACAAGCAACACGAAACCTCGATGGCAAGAAGATGAAATTCTGGAAATATTAAAGAGAAAGAAAGGTGCCTTTAAGAAATGGAAATCAAACAGAAATGAAGAATTAACGTTTAGGAGAGTAAACAGAGAAGCGAAGAAAAAATGTGGATTGTCCCGAAGACGAAGGATTTAGACACTACAGAGGGCGAGAAGACAAATATTTAAGACGGGGGTGGGGGGAGAGGCAAATTAGTACAGGGAGAAAATATAAAACGAAGGTAGAAAGAGAACTGCCCAATATAGAAGTGATAAAGAACAAATCATGTAATATTAGTTGTCGCTGACTTTGTAGTTGGATATTCTTCAAATATGATATCCTAACATTGTTTGTTTATCCAAATGACAACATCTATGATGGGGAGGCGGCATTTCCTACTCCTTACAACATAAGAAGTATCATTTATAGATACACATTTCTTAAAACATGAAAAAGTTCCAATGCTTTGAACATTTATGTATAGTAATTAAATTACATAAAATTCTATAAAATCCCTGAGACCTGTAAATGCCGTTGATACTTGCACCATCTAGTAGCACCTAATCGACCTAATGATTTTTTTATCTTTATGCCTGAATCACACACATGTTGAATAAACAGAAACCGTGCTTAATTAGATTTTTCAATATAGAGCATGAACAAAATGACAATTAGGTTACACTGAATATGTAGATTCGTTATCGATGTGTCATGTGTATGTGTCATGCTTGGTAATGAATGACACAAGAGTGTATAATCAGCTATTATTATGCACTGAATCTTGGCGTTTCTTTGAGGATTTGCATCCACATTCGAAGAGGTGAGCGAGAAAATGCATGTTTGCTTGTTTCAACTCAAGCAACTATTAGCTGGGTGGTTCCAAGGAGGGTGAATAGCAAAAATCTTAGAACCAACTCCCAATACTTGTGTTGTATATCTTGTTCATTCTAATGAAATGGGAATTTCTCGGTCAGTTGTTATTGTCATCTATCCATTTTATTTCTATTTGCCAGTGCAATGTAATGCAATATATGCGTAGGTGTAGATGATATTAGCATATCAAACCTTTACATCAAATTCATTCTCTTTATACATTATCCTAGAAGTAATAATTTCCCGGAACAATGTAGAAAATAACACGAAGTCGTTATTTCATTCTTTTATGCCAATGAATATTCATCAATTCCTGAATATCCACTGAAAAAATACATGTCCGATTCTTAGACGTCATAATAACATGAGAAATCCGAGGTCAAAACGAGCTGCCAAGCTGACACCTTTTTCAGGATGGACGCAAAGAAATGTAATCTGAAATAGACTGCTACAATGGGGTATAGTCAGTGGTAGAGCGCTGGCTTTGCAATCGCATGGTCCTGGGTTCGCGCCCGGCTGCCCCTCTCAGTCGACTCAGCTGTGAATGAGCACTGTTATGCTGACGTCAGCATGCTAGGGTCAAAGTCGGGGCAGAAAGGAACAGGTCACCCTACCGCATCATCCCGCGGCTTAGTAAGCATGTTTCTCTACAAAACATGTCCCTTACGTCCAGATGGATATGGGACCAACTTTGACTTTTGACAATGGGTGAGGGAAAGTAACTCTTCAACGGTGATATATTCGGAGAGCTGGGCATCTCCCGGACGATGGTGTACAGGCAGATAGGGTGGGAAGAGGAGGGCACCCATAACGGGAATACACGGAAAGCTCCATTGCTAAAGGGAATTAAAGGTGTAAATGTTAGCCCTTTTAAATATTTCAGAAATCAATTTATTTCAATTTACTATATAGATATTTGTTTATACAGAACAGTGCCCTACACGTCATATTTCATGTTCAGACTCTATATCATTATTTACATTTCACATATGACAGACAAATTATCTATAAACGGCGAGGCGCGGCCGCGTGACCTGCGATATTGGGGGTGGATCTCCCTACATGATGTTGGCGAAACGGGGAAAATGCCTCAGACAAATATATCGAATTGTTAGAAAAAAATCCTCCCATCAGTACACTGTTATGCCTTGGCCCTTCCCAGAAAAATGAGGATAACTGCCCTATACACACGTCCAGGGCAGTTACGAAGTAGTTCCCTGCCTAACACCCGTGGAAGTCCTTCGATGGCCAAGCGAGGGATGTCGCTCAAACCCGACGAAAAATGTTTGGCCGAATATTGTCAATGTTTGAGAAACGGCTAAAGAAGCAGCCTCGAAACAGCTGATAGAAATTGAGACGTTACATGTGAACACGTGACCTCTGTCTCAGGGATTAGACACCGTTTGAATAACAATACATATTTCCTATCATAAGCATTACTATTTGTCTTCCCTTTCTACAGTTATTACCATTTTTTGTAAAAGTATCTCCAAAATTAATAAACATCCCCAATTAGTCGATTCACTGAAGCCCCCATCTATGAAAAAATAAAAATAAATAAATAAATATATATATATATATATATATATATATATATATATATGTATTGTGTGTGTGTGTGTGTGTGTGTGTGTGTGTGTGTGTGTGTGTGTGTGTGTGTGTGTGTGTGTGTGTGTGTGTGTGTGTGTCTTAGTTATCAACTACATGGCATGGCGTTTTGTGTGAGAAGGAGCTCAAAATGTATATGAAATATAATACAAAAGATTCTAACTAAAGCTTTAAAACTATGATTACAGTTCTTTCACGCACAATACATAGCCACATTGTTGAGGCCCGGCTAACCCGACCTCGGTTTTGCGTTCAGTTAATATTCTAAAATAATTATAATTGTCTGTTTATTGAATCCGTGCCTAGATCTGATCAATTAGTTCACAATGAAAATTACATATAAAAACTTTGATTTTATTTTGTGAGAAAAGACAAGAATGTCATTTTTTGTCTATACATACAATACACTGTAAACAAGCGTGTATTGACAAAATGAAGGAAAATAAAAAATGCATAAACAACAAATAAAAGTAAAGAGCAAGATTAACTGACATTAAACCAAGCTATTTTTTTTTCTTTTTCAAAATATCAGATATACAGCTGTAATGAGAGTCGGTTCTTTGACTTTTGCTATTCACCCTCTTTGGAACCACCTAGCTTGCAGTTGCTTGAGTTGAAACAAGCGAACCTGTATTTTCTCGCTCAACTGATCGAATGTGGATGCGCCTCCTTCTAAAAACGCCGACGGAATAATAACAGAAAAAACTATAAAATTATATAATTATATATATATATATATATATATATATATATATATATAACATAAATAAATATATATATATATATTATATATAATATATTATATTATGTTGTGTGTGTGTGTGTGTGTGTGTGTGTGTGTATGTGTGTTTGTGTGTGTATTACATATATATATATATATATATATATATATATATATATACATATATATATATATATATATATATATATATCTACATACACACATATATATCGATAGATACATTTATACATACATATATAAACACACATATTTGTGTTTGTGTGTATATATATATATATATATATATTATATATTATATATATATATATATATATATATGGTGCGTACTGGTGCCCCATTGACCGTGCAGTGTTGCCCTTCTTCCGTTCCAGCTGCCCCCCCCCCCGCCTTCCAGTGGTTCTCCCTTTCTACGTTATCTCAAATGCTTGATGGCGTCGAGGAACACGTGGCTACCATGTGTTGAGTGTATCGAATTGACGCTATTGTTTATTTTAAAATTGCTGATCTTTTAGTATATCGTTAGACCTATCATGTGAATATGATAATTCATTAAAAATCTGATTTCTGGTCTAGAACGGTGTACATATACGCTGTGGAAGTCCTCTTCTCTTGATGCCTCCAAAACAGGGTAAACTTAATCTACGGAATTGTGAATTTAACTAAAGTCGTCCTACAGTTTGATGTCGGCGGTAGTATTTACCTTTGAAAAAATAAATTGGGCGGCATGAGGCATACATTGGTCACATGCATCATTCTCTGAATCCTCTGCAGAGCGTTTCAAGTGGTACATTCCAGAATATGAATGATGTTCAATAGAGATATATTTTTATAATGAAAGCCTGACTAACACACTAATATCCGTGTAAATGAGGTAACAATAACAAGAAATCCATTTCATTTGATGAAAATCATCTTGCTCTTGTACTAATCTTAGGATGCCGCATTTTCTCTTGAAACGAATATTTGCTAAAGCTAACTAGTAACAATTTAATCTCAGTAATGCGTAAAAAATATGAGCGTTCGTTATGATACTACAACCTATTTTCAAGCCAAGGGTGTCCTGACTCTTTTCCAACACGTGTTATATCATCAAGACATACAGCCTTTAAGGCTAACATAAAATAGGATTTCAGTTTAGAATGAAGTCCGTAAGTATGCATTTAATACTCTTTCGTTGTGGTACCGTATTTTATAATCTGGTATTAGATTAACAGAATTTTCAGAGATTGTAGTTGTCCTTTCAGTTACTACGTTTCTTGTACGTAAATGTTCCAATGTTAATTCTGGATGAGAATGAGAATTCCAAACCGCTAATTTTAAATATATAAAGATAAAATCCCATGAAAGTTTTCCATAAAAATGCAATCATGATAAGAATTGGACATATTATAATATTTTCACAAAGAATCACTCAGCAGTCATTCGTTAAAACTCCTGGGAAAATGAAACAGAAAATGACAATGTGGCACAGCAGCGGTTTTGTGTAGTTCACGAAGTCGCCGCTAGAGGAAGCACGTGGTCGGTCGTTGTTGAAGCAGGCAGGCGAAAGACCGATATTTTTCATGGTTTTAGAAGCGTAGAAGAAATGTAAGTACTCTCCGTATATGCACATAGTCTTGCTAAACAATTCGCAGTAGTGTCTTGGTTTGGTAAAGCTTAGGTTATTAGTTATGATGCTTTTTTTGCTCGCCTGTGTTAGGGGATGCGGCTTACTACGCCATGTTTGTTTGGCCGACGCTTCTTGAATGAGTTTTGCCCCTTTTGCCATTACTCAGCTAATTCATGCGAGTCTCGTCCGATTTCCTACACTCTACCGATACTTTTGGGTTCCTTTATTTGTTACTCAATCTACAGAAAACAGAAGAAGACAGAATAGAGGTGTAAAATGCCGATTTGCATGCTGTGCGGGGAATTTTTCGAGGGCGCGACGAAAGCCCTTTGACCGCGAGGGTTCGTAAGGTGGCGTCGGCCCATCGGTTAGGTTCTTTTTCACATTGCGAAGGCTGTTATGTTGGCCTTATCTGTCCTGTAGGCCGAGATTGGGATTCAGCGGCGGGTTGATGGGTTTTCATCCAGTTTTTTTTTTTTTTTTTTCCTAATTCGTGTAAGAGGCAGGAACAGCATCTCGGCAGATTTTTTTAAAGCTTAGTAGGCAGAACTAATCCTCGCTTATGGTTGACATTTACATGAACATTGATTTTTATTTACTTATTTATTTTTTATTTTAATTTTTTTTACTAGACCAAATTGTATAGAAATATGGAAAGGTTAATGGTATTATTGGAGATGTAGTAACATTTTGCAACATCATCCTGAGAAAGACTTTTTGCAGGTGGAGGTAAATTTATGTAGAGGTTTTAAAGAGCATGTGTATCTATTGCAAGGTAAACATTACTTTGATTTGATGATCATAGAATGTAATAGCAATTTAGTTACCAAGGCCACAAACAATATACATATATATTCATGTGAATCTATTGCTACCCAGCTCTGGCAAACATGCATCCCCCAAATAAACTGTTTAGATAGAGAATATAGACTCCTGGCGATTACTAGCAGCTGTATCTGATCTCTTGCGGTTAGGTGTACTGCACACATGGGTATAAATGTCATTGTCAGATGATAAGTAGGAACCTAATCCTAATTGAGTGTGGTATCTTTTTGCTTCAAGGTGTTGTCATCTTATTTGTATCACCAAGTAAGTGTAGGACACCAGTCAGGGGCTTTTCTGCTGTACCAGTAGTCCCTTCCTTTTCTTTATTTGACTTGTCAAACCCTTAATTAACGTGTTCCTTTTCAAAACCATTACTCTTCTTTTTCCAAAGTTGGATAGACGTTACATGTACCGTTAACCTACACATTCTCTTTCGTCACCTCGGCATATGTACCCAGATGAGTCAGGATCCTATTACTATTGACACCAGAAAGCCTCAAATTTTTTAATATTTGGCATACATCATAAGGATATACTCTGACCAACCCTTATCAGGTACCGTTGATTTAATTTAAGTAGATGAAGTACTGACTACAATTGAGGTACACATGGTGAGTGACCCAATCAGTGTGTATGTTAAGAACATAAGTATTTGCATACAAGATAACCGGCTAGTGCGCATGTTCTGGCCTAGTCACCTGTGAAATGCCTATCATTGTTGGGTGAAAACACATTGAACTAAATTTTACTTATTATACTACATGAATGTCCAAATTTCAAAATTGTTCTAAAAGCATACAAGGTAAAAGAAGTAATTGTCTCAAAGAAATTGGTATTCCTTCGACTAAACTTATTTAAGTGTAGTTTAATTTTTCAGTTACAATAAACTAACCACAAACTTTGGTACACTGGATTTTGAATATTTGTTTTATGATAGGTTTCCTCCAGATCAAATCTCCCATATTCACTACTCTAGGGCCAACATTCCAATATTTTATTGAACAATTAAAAAAGAAACCTGTGATGATAGTTTATGGCCTCAGGAACTTGAGTAATTGATGGAGCCTCTGCACCTTCAGTGCTCTTGTAACAAATAGTACACCTAGGCCACATATATTATGGCAGGGTAGGGCTTCAAATGATTCCTTATTTGGTGATAAATTGCTCAGGAGATTGACAAGCTATATCTTGGCAGAGGATGAATGTTTGCTGGTGGCTAAAAGGACAGAGGTCATGGTGATTTCCTAAATCACAAGGTACATGTCTGTATGTTTTGCCAAATCTGATAAGTAAATGCCATTTTTCTTTGCCTATATGCATATAGACTACAATAAAGAACCCACGACAGTAAAGGTTTTACCCTGTTATGGCTTTCTAAAAGTAATTTGAAATTAATTTTGTGGTTGCATTCAACCTAGATTAATTCAAAATTTACCTTTTTGATTTTGTTCATCCCAATAAAAAGTTGGTGTCAAGCAATTTTTCAGAGCTTCCACGCCTGTGGCTCTCAGGCAAAAGTTAAGAATCATTCCTACTTTGTAAACTTTTCCTGGAATGAATGAAATGAAATATGTTAGATCACCTTAGCTCAGTTTGTCATACCCATGGCTGGGGGTATTGACATCCTCCCACAGGCATAGTTTCCTTGCTGGTTCCATGCCACCTCCTTATTCAGCAATGCTCTCCACCCATTCCATGCTTCTCTCTCTTGCTTTAACTTATTCTTAGTTTGTTGTAAGAACCAGAATATGTCAACATTGCCAATAGCCATGTTTTCTGTTTTATAAGGATGTAGATATAAAAGTTAAGTAATGTGACTTACTGTTAAAGTAAACCCAAATTCAGCTTTACAATAATTAGGGACTTTGCTGCAAGCTTTGGGGAGAATCCTTATAATGCTTCAGCAAGAATTTGTGAATAGTACAGACAGTTTCAGACAAATTGTGAAAAGGCAAGGTTGAATAGATATTAGTTACTATTTTTGTTGTCAGGAGATTATCAGTTACAGAACATTTGTTAAGATCAACAAAAATAAAGGTTACAGATTAACACTTACTGCTACGTTGATGTAACCTATATGTAGCAGATAATTTTCATGGCTACCTACAATATAATCATAGTTTTTAGACTGTAATGGACCTGACGAGTAATTGGTTACTGACTTGCATGATTCTTACTATTGTCATGTTGATGTTAATTTGTCATCATGGCAGTAATTCGAGAAAAGTAGGAAATTGTGTTGAAGTGAAGTCTTTCTGCTGCCAAGGAAACATACTGGTCTTTGGGGAAGTTCCAATTAAAAAGGCCTGGGTTTTGCAGTACAAATATGGACTTTTATTCAAATTGATTTATTAATCATTGAAGTTTCCTTATTGCAAGAATGCTAATAGATTGATTACTGAGTGTCACGTTTGTTTATTTACATATTTTTTCTTTTCCTTTTTTCAGAAGGAAGTAAGGTGTAAACATGGCGAGGGTGTATGTTGGAGGTTTGCACTATAACTGCCGTGAAAGAGACCTGGAAAGGTTTTTCAAGAGATATGGCAGGCTTCGTGATTGCCTTATCAAAAATGGATATGGCTTTGTGGTGAGTATGCCTGGATGTTAATGTCATTGGGCATATTTGTTTTTAAGAAAAAATGTATTGATTCAAATTTTTAAAACTAATCTAATCTTGAACCTTACAGGAGTTTGAAGATGAGAGAGATGCAGATGATGCTGTCTATGAAATGAATGGAAGAGAATTGTTAGGAGAAAGGTGAGTTAGTACCCCAAGTATGATAGTTATGGTTCTTATGATAATGATGTTATTTTACTTATTAATAGTTGATTATCATAAATTTAGTTGTGATTTAGCATTGTATATATTATTGGTCATTGGATAATCACATCCTCTTGCTATCCCCTTTATGTAATTCACTCTTTCCTCTCTTTTCCTCTCTCTATTACAGTGACTTGTGCTTTCATTTTGTGCCATAATCATACATAATTTTGATCCATTTCCAGAGTGACTGTAGAACATGCCCGTGGACTTCCAAGAAGGGGTGGTTATGGATTTGGTGGTGGTGGTGGTGGTCGAGATCGAGACCGAGATCGTCGACCAGCTTGGCTTGACAGGTAGGTTCTTATATCACTGTTGTGCATATCTTGAAATTTTAAAGATGTAGAGTGAAAAAGTTTTGTAATAAGAAATGCATAATCTGGCAAGGAACAATGAAATTCTTGGACATTTTTGAGCTATTGTTTTCTTGTATGAAAAAATATGGCTTTTTATTTTCTTTTGGCACCTATTTATGAATGAAATACTGTTAGGTTTTTAAGTTTTCATGAGAACTTTATTCTGTATGAAGCATAAATTTTTCATCCATCCTTTTTTCCTCTTTTTTCTATATATAAAAACAAACCTATACTTTTATACATTGTGTGGGTATAGGTGTGTGGGCATGTGTACAAACCTGCACAGATTTTATTTAAATTTTATTGGTAATGTTTTTACACTATTCCAATGTTACAGCCTCTTATTTGGTTGTATTAAGGAACTATATTCTGCTTTTGGTTCTTGGGCTGAGTTAATCATTTTTGAGAATTCATATAATTTCCATGTTTAATATAGAACATGATTGATGTAATGATTTAAGCTAATTTCTAGATGTGGAGGGCACTAGGGATGATTCATATTTTATCCAAAACACTGTAACCTTTTAATGTCCTAGACCATTTCATTAGAAAGACCCAAGACTTGAAAATTTGGTTGTTATTATTATTGCAAATTTATATTTTTAATATAAAAGGACAATTAGCTACTTTCTGGAAAATTTATTCTGAATCCCTCCTAATGTGCTACTAACTTTTGTAATAGCCACATGTGAAGAATAGGTAGTCCCAAGAAAATTGTTTATTATCTACATAAACTTTTTATGCATTTGAAGTTTTGAAGAAAATGTGATTTATCAATGGCTTATGTTGCCAACATGTTGGGGAAATGATTTTTTTCTTTTCTTTCTCTCTTACACCAACTTTAAACCCTCTAACTACTTTTTGTTTATATATATACTTTTTTCTTCAATACATTCCCTTTATTTCAGTTTTCAATAAATTGTTCTGGCTTTCTAATAGAATGATGATATAGTAACATTTGCAAAATACTCCTAACGTCAAAGTACACATCAGAGTACCATAACATGCCCTAAGCATAATATTCTTGATTGAGAAGAAAAGTGAATACTATTTATCCTGAAGTTAGATAGCAAATTGTTTTATTGGATATTTACTTTTATCAACATTTTTGTTGCCTACTCATTTTTCATTGTAAGCCATGGCAAGCTTTCTTTAAAGAGAATTGTTCAAATTAGTAAATTATTTTATCTTGCATATAGTGATATTGTTTTTTATTGTATGTTTTCTTTTTTCCTTTTTCCTTGCCTTCTTTCTTTATTTCATTTATCTTGAATTCACATAACTCTGATTTTACCATGTTCCAATTAGGAAAAGGTGAATGTTGTCAGAAAAAGCTTTATTGTCCTTTTTGCTTGCTTATCTGTACACTAAATACTACTATTTAATTAGATAAGTTATTTACAGTGAAATAGATGTGGTGAAAGTAATTTTTGGCAAGTTACTTCCATTATTATCAAAGAATGACCCTCAAGTAGGATTTTTACTTTTTGTAAAACCACATTATTCACTATTGTTAAAGAGCGAGTTGGAGTAAGCCAAGTGACCTTCACCGCAGGTACGGCCCCCCAACGAGGACACCTTACAGGGTCATTGTTGAAAATCTGTCATCACGCATCAGCTGGCAGGTGGGTCTTGCTTGTGTTTTTTCTTTTGAATTAATTTAACCATTTTTCTTTCCTTTCTTTTTTTTAAATTTTATTCATTTATTTATTTTTTGAGGATTGGATATAAGGAGGGGATAAACCCCCCTTTTTTATATTGACAGAGTTGAGCCGTGTTTGGTGGTGTTTGGTAGAAGGTTAAAGGCTCTGTTGAGGGATTTGATGTGAACATTTTCTCCCGCAACTTGGAGTTCTCTCATTTGATA